GATGTAGTAATACAGCCATACTCGGTAAGTACGGTAAATATAGAGAGTACAGGTCTAAAATAACATTCTGGCTTGACCGTATTATTAATCCGAATGATCTGAGCGTCAGTATCTCTCGGATACACATTCTACACAAGTCCAAACATGGTGTTATCATTATATGTGAGAACGATTACCTTACGGTAATTCGGTCACTGAAAAGGATTCTCGATCCTTTGAGTTCTTTTTCTTTTTTCTTTTAGAAAAAAATTTAAGTGTATTTATTTATTCTATTGCATCATCATATCTTTATACTTTTCTGTTTAATAGATACACTAGTAGATGCAGCTGGCTTCATAGCAAAAAGACAAAAGTTAAATCAAGCATCGCTCGATGCAGCTAGATGTGGACGATGAACTGCTAGATGCATCGGCCAAAAGACAATGGAAGAATAGTTAAATAACTGTGCATCTAGTAACAGCCGATGCAGCTAGCTTCATACATCTAGCTGGATCTACTAGTGCATCTATCAAATGAAGCTAACTGCATCGACTTTCACTAGATACATAGTTATTACTAGAAATTCGTTCGAATTCTTTACTATCAAAGTATCGAACATTCGCTGGTACATATAACAATGTTGCATCAGTTTATAAGAAGAAGGGTGAATACGATAAAGCTTTAGAATATTACCAGAAGGCATTGGAAATTCGTTCGTGTTCATTAGCATCAAATAATCTAGCAATAGTCGCTATATATAATAATATGGCATTAGTGTATTATAAGAAAGATGAATACGATAAAGCATTAGAATGTTATGATAGGACACTAGACATGCGTTCGAGGTCGTTACCGTCCAATCATCCGGCAGTGGCTAGCACATATTATAATATTGCATCAGTTTATCATAGGAAAGGTGAGTACGATAAAGCATTACAATATTATGGAAGGACACTAGACATTCGTTCGAAGTCAATACCATCAAATCATGCATTGATGGCTACTACATGTTTTAATATTGGATTAGTTTATTATAAGAAAGGTGAATACGATAAATCATTAGATTATTATGAAAGAACACTAGAACATGAATCCAATTTAATACCGTCAAATCTTCCATCAGTAGCTACTACATATAACAATACTGCATCGGTTTATTATAAGAAGGGTGAATATGATAAAGGATTAGAATATTATGAAAAGGCGCTCGAAATTGAAAGATGTTCATTACCATGGAATCATCCATCATTAGCCGTTACATATTATAATATTGCATCAGTTTATCATAAGAAAGGTGAATACCATAAAGCATTAGAATATTATGACAGGACAGTAGAAATTGAATCGAAGTCGCTAGTAGCAAAGAATCCGTCATTGGCTACTACATATAATAATATTGCATCGGTTTATTATAAGAAGGGTGAATATGATAAAGGATTAGAATATTATGAAAAGGCACAGCACTTGAATCGTGTCCAGTACCATGGAATCATCCACCATTAGCCGTACATATTATAATATTGCATCAGTTTATCATAACAAAAGGAGAATACAGTAAAGCATTAGAGTATTATTGAAAGACAGCAGAAAGCCCTGCGCACTCCTTAGCATCAAATCGTCCATCATAGGCACTACATGTAATAATACTGGATTATTTTGAGGGCTGTCCAATCATAATTATCTGGAAAATAGCTATATAGCACGGAAGCACGGAAGGTTTAAGTTCCGCCGCACAGAATGCAGTAAAACTTTAAGCATATGAGTAAATCCAAGCGATGCATGCTACAAGTAATAGAGAAATGAAGTATTAAGAAAACAGCGGAAATAATATTAGAATTTTAGAAAATAAGGATCTAAATAAATACGGGAAATAGGGAAATAAGAATTACTGGAAGTAGGGGAATAAGGATCTAAATAAATACGGGAAATAGGGAAATAAGAATTACTGGAAGCAGGGGAACTAAGAAAATGAGATCTAAGACAACAGAACAAATAAGGAATATAGTGTTCAGCTGAAGCTTCAGAGTATGAAGATCGAACGTATTTAATCTGTTAATTATATGTATAGTTTAATGTTGTTTAACTTCTTCTAATGACGATAACATCATTGAAACCTGAGCCCTATCGCTGATTCATAGTGATTGAAGGTTATTCGATAGTAGTGTAAGGAGGAACATACACGCAGATACCGGTGTGAGGGACCTGAGTACACAATATTCCAGAACATCCTGTGGAATACTTAGGATACACATATTATATTTATACATTTACACACACACACTGAAGGCCATTTAAAGGTTGCAAGACTCTCCCCTCCGGTGGAGAGAATAATAATGACCACAAATAGCGTGTGTTTGGACACACACTCACACGCATTTAAAGGTTGCAAGGCTCTCCCCTCCGGTGGAGAGAATAATGTAAGAAATAAATTTGAAAGCCGAATAAACACAAAGAGACGTTACATATGCTTTTCAATAAATGAAGTAGGCAGACGCCTAGAGGAGCATCGAAAACAACTTGAAGATCTTACCCATCGGATACACCTGACATGGAGAGATATTACATTAATCATGTGGAGTGTGGTAGGGGCCTCATATTGGCATATGTTATTCAATAAATGGCTCTGACAAGTAAATTAAAAATGTTGATCTTATTACGAAGGATGATGTCAGCACATCAACAGCAACAGTGTACGATACTTTAACGGTCAGTATATCACTCTTAACGAGTAGTATACAGCCGACCTCTATTTATACGAGGATATGTACTTCGTTTTACACTGTTTAATTCACCAATGTTAGAGTATTGCACAACTTCAATCGTTCCCAGGAGAAAAAAGACGGGCAATAAACTGCTCATTAACTGCCAGTTTACAGTCTGCCTAAAAACTGCCAGTTGACAACGTGTTAACTGTCTAAAAACCACCTAGAAACTGTCTAGTTTATTGGCCG